TGCTCAAAACGACGGCAAAACAATGCGGAACAAATGGTAACAATCACGTGACGATCTGATAAAATGCAGCATTTTCATGACACGATAGCCTCACACATTGTAAATGAGCTAAAAATACGGAGGGATGAGCACGCCTCGAGTATGAGCGCGTGTTTAAAAGTAGATTAAAAAATGCACTCGCAAACTGGAAAGATCAAGCATGCAGCAATCGCATGCAATTTGTGGATGGAAATGGGCCGCACGCGTTTAATAATCAACCACCACGCCATTTTGTTCCCCGAAGGCACTTTGCGCTGACTCATCGGGTCTTCCCAATGTACCACTGTATACTTTTCCTCCCACAAGTCCTTATACGATTCAAAGTGCCAACACCCGAAACCACAACATCCAACCTCTGAAGTATACCGACCTGCACCTCTCATTCCATGCACTTCACAACGGTGCAATGCTGCATCAGCCGGAGCATGATCGACCGCTGCCGCTACCTGGTAAGCACACCATATCGACCATCTGAGGAGGCCGCAGACAACACCGGTGTCCCGCCGCCCCACAAGACACGCCGGGTTTTCCTCTGACGTCGTCACAGTCTGCCAACAGGGACGGACACCTGTTCGGTGCTCAGTGCCTGTCCTGCAGCTCCCGCCCGCAGTCGGGCACCGGACTGCATTTTTCGGCCATCAAACACCGCTTTCGGAGACGACTGACGGCGTCCGCTGCGTCCGCTGCGATCGGCGCGACTGCGACACCGACACACGACAAGCTTTGTACGGAGATGTACGCGTCGGCGGAAAACGGTAACGACGACCGGTCGACTACTCGAGGCTAGGAGTAATAGCAGTAGTCGACTGTGTATAGTAGAGTGACAGTGGAACGGTGCACTGCGGACGATCGCTTGTCGGGTACTGCAAAGAGTAAAGACACCTGCAGGTGGACGGTTCGTGGATGATGAGTGGACAGACGGAGACGGACGGTAGGCGGATGGTAGACGGATGGTAGACGGACGGTAGACGATAGACGGCGGTTTGGTAGACGATGGACAATGCTCATCCACTGTCCACATGATAGACGGTGGGCAGTGGACGGTACACAGCGCAGGGTAGATCATGAATGGTGTTTAATCACTATTCAGTATCCTTAACAATGCATACCACAGAAGGTGGACGGTATAGGTAGTAAACGGTAGACGATTCACAGACTGCATGAGGACCTGTACATATACAGAATGTAGCCGAACTGTGAACCATGAACGGTGGACATCGCCCGATCTGTACGCCACACAGTGGACAGTGGACATCGCCCGGCCGGCGTCCGAACAGCGACCGTCGTCCCCAGCTGCGGCCGGCGAGGGGACATGCAACCAGTCGGCGTCGATCGGCACATTCCAGTGTCTGCCGCTCCATCAATCACGCCCCAATAATGGACGTTTAGCGTGCCGGCGGTCACCGTGCAGATACTGCCGCCGGGGGGGGGGGGGAGCAGGGGGTGATACTAGTCGATACCGCCGGTGCAGCCGACGCTCCTGCAGCCGACAATAAACCGAAAAACAAGCTGCGGCGCCGGTGCAGTGTTGGTTTTTGTCCGCGACGGGATTAGGAAAGTCGCGCCGATCCCAGGTCCGGGGAGCCTGGCTGGACTGGTAGGATTCCAGTCGCAGTGGTCGGTCGGTGTTAGCCGACCGGCATTGATTGGGAGTTGATGGGGCTGGATGGGATGCATTGACCCTAGACGCAAGACTCATTTCATTATGAAATTACCTACTTAGAAGGCACGTTGCGCTTTATCTTGCAAATAATTGTAAGGTATGCATATCATCATCTCATTTTGGGCAAATAATACTATAATGTTAACGATGACTTATTAGTTAATAACTGTTGAAAAGACTACTACTTTAGAAGAACAATGTCGTGTTCTTCTACCGTATTTGAATCATGCATAAATATTTTCTTGACACGGTCATTTCCTTGCAATTGAACGGCCCAATCCAGTTCTTTAACAATACGGACCACAAGTAGGTTCTTCAGCAAGATTACGAGCGCATGCATTCCAAAACAACTGTCAATGATATGATACGAATATATCGATCACACGACGCATATGTGTATATCCAGTCCGTCCGTCGAGTCAGTTGCTCACTGGGCTGAGTTCTGCTCATACTCGCAATTAGCGGTGGGTTTCCGGCCCACGGTGGGCCGTGTCGATTTCATCAGACCGTTCAATTCATAAACATGAAGTAGTCAGAAGTTCAGAACCGCCGGCCCGGCCGGCGACTTAACACGCCTGTAAACATGGAACTGCAAACGAATTCGTGACGTTACCATCTATAGTTCGGCGAAATCGACTTTCCTATGAGGTATTCCCCGTGTATGTCGGTGACAGGACGAGGGGCAGCTGCAGCTAGATGCAGCGACTGACTGCCCTGCACGTAGTGCACGAACATAACTCAACACTCAACCAACTCCCGAGCTCCGAGCCAGGTACCAGTCGCAGTTCAGATACACTCTTACAGAAAATAACTCGAAGGCATTCTATTCCTGTAGCCGAAGAAAAACCTCAGCTTTTCCAGTGCGTTTACCTTCCTCGTACCGATCGAGAACTGTCTTCAATTACGGTATCTGATGCTGCGTTCGTTTGGCGGTCGCGGATTGCACGTCAATCTGCTTGTTCATCAGTTCCTGAGCCGACTGCGCGGCCGGTGTCACACATTTGCCAAGGCTGTTTCGGCCACTTCACACGGTGCGAACCAACCAATCAGTGTCACGCATACAAGCCGAGCGGGACGCCAACGTCCTTCGCCCCCCCCCCTCCGCCACGCACTAGGTTTGGCGACTGCACCACGAACTAGAACCGTAACACCGGTGATCGTTTGAAGCCGCCCGCCGCCGACCCTTTTCCTCGACATACCGGCTGTTAATTTTAATCACGAACCACTGATGCTTATCTCCGTGGCCAATCACGATTTAATTCATGTGCCGTTTACCTGGCTCAATGACAACATTAATCATCTGAGTTTGAATGAGTCTGTCGCACTATTGGTGGGCGGTTTTACAAACGGTAATCGTCCATATGTGATCTTACGTTTATCGTTGCTGGTTTTTGGTTTAGCGATTTGACTGCGCTGCGCATTTTTGCGAAAAGAAGCGAGTCCTACTAAGTCGAAAAGAAGCATGATGTCCTACAGCATTTTGGTCTCCACCCTACATTTCGAAGGCATCCACCTGAGATCCCGTAACATCTCCTGCTGTCTCCGGGAAGCCTCCAGTCCCCTCGGTCCCGGAATACCGCCTAACAGCATATGATAGGTGACCCAGAGACGGCGGGGGTCTCTGGGACGTCTCCTACAGTCTCCTACAGTCTCTCTCGTCTCCTCGATCCCGGAAAACCAATCAGCTGACCCGGCAGCAGCAGAGTCACTGGGGCGTCTCCTAAAACCTCTCCTGTACCCTCGATCCCGGAACACTTATCAGCTGACCCGACGGCGCACATTCCTGTGCGTCACATCGCCCGTCATCCGCCAAAGGATGGCGTTCGGGCGGCCCGGGGGCGGCGGCGGCCGGCGCGCCCAGGGTAGCATGTGGTGGACGCTGGGCGGCGATTAGCTCGGTTCGGGAGCATTAGTGCTACCGGGGTGGTCGACAATGGGTCCAATTACGGTCGGAATGTGACCTCCGATGGATGAGGCGGCGCGATACGGACCGCGGCGGGAAGAGGGAGGGAGAGAGGAGAGAGGGAGCGAGGGGAGATCGGTAGAAAAAGGGAGTGAGACTAAAAGGGAAGAGTGTTGGGAAGAAAGATAGAGAGTGGGAAGATAAGTGAACAAAGAACAGAAAGAAGAGCGAGATGGAGAAATTGAGAGAGAAAAAGAGGGACAGAAAAGCAGGGAGGGAGGGAGGGAGGGTTGGAGAGAGAGGGAGGGAGAGAGAGAGAGAGAGAGAGAGAGAGAGAGAGAGAGAGAGAGAGAGAGAGAGAGAGAGAGAGAGAGAGAGAGAGAGAGAGAGGGGTTGCCCGGCCCTGATAAATATCACTTTGACGATGCACCGAGAGGGAGAAAAGAGACATGCAAGGTAGAAAGGGATAATCAGCATACAGTGGAGAAAACGCACACGGGAAACGGTCGTCAAAGATAAACAGGTGACGAAAAAGAGCTGGAATCACGTTGAGCGTGGTAGATTCTTAAATGTAATCGTAAATATAGGGTACTCTACGCTGACACACACCGAAAACTATCCGTTCGATTGTTTTCTTCATTTAAATAGGTACTTATCACCTGATGAGCAGTCATTGGTAATACTGTACCCACTTTCCGATAACCTCGTACAGTTCGGACACTCAGGTCCCGGGTGCCGGGACTGGCTGTACTAGTCAGATTACAATGCTTATTGTGATTCCACGGACGGATACCGGCGATATATGCGGCGTTTAGCCACCAGCTTCCACAGAAGGTGATCTCAGCTGACGGCATCCTGGCGAGGTCGTGGGTCGGAACGGGCACCACTGGTTACAGTCGGTTACAACCGGCTCCGGCGTGACAAGGCGTCCGGCATTCCTGCACTCTTGCCGTGAGCTCACGGCTTCGGCAAACAATCGGTTTTCCCTCTTCCTGTGTTCTATTGTTTCCAGACCCTGTACTGACTGGAGCGATACAGTCTAGTCTTCCTATCGTTATTTCGTTACACTTCAGTCAGTCACCAGCTCAGTGGGTAGGATTATCTGGTCAATTTAGATGCAACTAACAACTCTCCAGTGAAACTTATTAAATGGGGACGGACATAACGCCTCGTCCGTCCGATGGACATACGTCTTATCCGTCACCAAAAGCCGAAACCAGTCGCCGCCGCCATCAAAAGTCGAACCAGCAAAAGTTGACCGTTCGCGTGAGGCTCGCCGCTCACAGTTGGACATGATTTTCGAGGAACCATCCGGTACCGACCGAGCAGCGCTGTAAAACTTTGCAGCACATTTCAGTACAGCCGCTTCTTCGAATGTTTGTCAAAACACTTCGGTCAGGTTAGAACTATATTATTTTTTAGAAAACGAACTAGAGGTAGCAGCTCAATGAACGCTCTTTCAAAGCAAAACAAGTTAAAACAGTCACACATATTTTCTAACACAAATATTAAAGCGCACAACGAGTGTGAGTATGTATATACTGTGCTAGAGAAGCTTATCACGTGTTATCACGTGGAATATCACGCAAATGCGTCCGTCCACGGCCCTGGCCCATCCCTGTGTACCAATAAGGCCACGGTCCATCATCATCATCAGCAGATCACAGTCAGCCTGTCAGCGAGGCTCCATAAACCGCGCGGTCCGGTCCGTGCCAATACGGTCCGACCAAACCCACATACGGAATGTCATGACTTCGGACGGCTGGAGGCGAATGTGCGGAACAGTGGCGTCACCTATAAGACAACAGCAGCGCCACCTGGGACAAACACTAGCGCCACCTATGCCGAGGGCTGCTCCGGTACCTTGATGAGTCCCGTGGTGAGAGCGCCGCCGTGGCCCGTCCATTCCTCCTTTAGGGTGACCTTACAGTCCAGGTCGCGAAGCGCGGCGCGGGCCTCGGCGTCCAGCTGAAACGGAGGATCGGCGTCACCGGCGCGGAACCCAGAAACACGAGAGTATTCACGACAGTGCACATTTTGGTGCAGATGAAAATCTGGCGAATTCGGGTGACCAGACACTTAATTGGTTATGATGTTATAAGCTCAGATGCGTCAGAAGTCAGAACCTACCGACATAATAAGCGTTTCGGTGAAAAAGAAATGGGTCCGCATTTAAAGTTTATAGCACTCGCACACAGATCAATGTAGTTTCGGCTGAGCCGGCCGCTTCTTGTGTTATTCAAGTCCCACCGACGGGCTCGTCGGTCGTCGATGCTAGTGATAGTACGCTAGTGTTCATGTATTAGCGAGACAGAGAGTCAGTGACTCAGCACTGGCCGTGTCTCTGAAGGGTGGCGTCATTGTCTAAGTGTCAGTACGCATCTCTGTCAGTGTCAGTGGTGTCAGTGTCATTGTGTCAGCATGTAGTCACCACCGGCCCGTGGCTCTGCAGGGCCGCGTTCGGACCTGTCTAGTGTCTATTGTGTAAGTGTTTGCATCGTCGCTAGTGTGCCAGTGTCAGTGTGTCAGTGTGTCAGTGTGTCAGTGTTCCTGTCACAGTATCCACTACTCACCACCGGTCCGTGGCTCTGCAGGGCGGCGTTGATCAGTTTCTCCGCCCCGTGCTCCCTGAAGGCGGGTCGCAGCTCCGGACTGCGAGAGGCCATGTTCCGTATCGCCATACAGGCCAGTTTCTGCGGCACACAGACACAGCGCTCCAGTCAGTTATACTAAGATTCAGTAGAGGAAACGCACCGGCGAAGAAAATAGTCATCAGTCAGCAAAGTCACAGGTGTGCCCGAACTGGGTTTCAAGTTGAGAAACACAGACACTGAAATTGAGAGACACTGAGATCAAAATGACGGTACGCTATCGAACGCCAGATGCTATCCAAAACATTTAATCAAACACCTACACAGGATCCCAGTATGAAGCCGATCTTCGGTTGGTCTGCTGTCTGTTTCCTACTAAACACACACTGCTTTTAAAAATCTACTGACCCGCCAACTTCGCACTTCGGACACCATGAGCTCCTATATTCCTTCCCTCCCAATAGAGCTCCGCCCAAGCATTTCTGCCCCAGCTGCTCCGACCTACCTGCGTCTTTGGCTGTGTGGGATGCAGCTCCATGGCCGATACCATGACGGGCACTGCGCCAGCCTGGGCCAGGGCCCCCGCATTCGTCTCGCTGCGCAGAGTCAGAGCGCCGATCGCCGCAAACGCCGCCTCGCTCACACTCGTCTTCGTCTGAGGGGTCAGATCACAGATGGGAGGTCAAACTGCTGTTGATTTTTCAAGCTGCAGAGGGCATGATGGGGTGCGAAACCGGGAAGAAGTCAATCTGGTGCCCAGCTCTTGAAGAAGTAAGCGGGACGGTACAAATACAACGTCAGAGCTTGACGTTAGGTCAAGTACCCAGCAAACATACCCTAGTCATAACCAAACACTAGTTAATGACAATCAGCGGGCATTGGTCCGCTAATTTCTTACCTTCAGCGTGTCCAGAGTGGTGACGATAGTCTCGGCCGCGCCCGCCTTCATGATGTGACCTTTGACCTTGTCACTGCCGGCCAGGGTGCGGATCAGGAAGAACGACCGCCCCACCAGAGACTGAAACGCAAAGGTACGATAAGGTAGCACGGGAGTGACACACGTGGATCCGGGCGGGTTACGCACAGGCCATAGAGTAACTACCATTAACGCTGATAAATGAGCGTAGAGCATATTCGGAGCGAGTCGTTGTTGCGTTACATGCATTATAGATGTTACTGATAGTTTGTGACAAGCAATTGTAGCATATTTGACTAAGCGTCGATTTCGATCTTTTTTGTTTTTTACATGCAGCTCCAACGACACGACAGAGTTCTAAGTTGTTTATTTGGGGATTTAAGGCGCGCCGACTACAAGGTCATTTTGCGTCCATGAGTTTTGGAGTTATTATATGCAAGATCATATTCAGGGCAACCTCACCACTTTGTCCGGGTTGGCTCGCATCACGTCCAGCATAGTCTCCACTCCGCCACTCTCGGCGAACTGTTCACAGAACTCCTGACGTACGCACAGCTTGGTGGCGGCGTGCAGCACCTCGGCAGCCAGGGCAGCGTCCTCTGCGGCGCCTGTGGCCGCGGGGAGGGCATCACAAGGCGGTGTCATTGGAGTAGGTGTATCATTACAAAATAAGAGTTAACACAGATACTGAATATAAACCGCAGTAAATGTGGGATTGGAGTCAGGAAAATAAACAGCTAACATTGTAGCAAAATTACCTATATGACACTAAAGACAGCTGGTTAAATGTATCAAACCAACAAAGCTGATGAAAAAAATGGCTCATGTATTTTATATGCAAGGTGGTGAGTCACCACCTTGCAATATAAAATATAGCAGTTCGTTGATGTAGGCGGAAGCACGCTGCATACCACAGCGAGTGCAGTCTGGTGGGCAGTCAGGCAGCAGCAGCAGCGCCCTCCGTCAGCCGCCGTACCTTTGAGCAGTGCCAGCAGCGTGTCCAGCGCGGCGTGCTCGGTCACCAGCTGGCAGGCGTGCTGGTGCGCCCGGCCGTACGGCACGCGCACGTCGTCATCGAGCGTCATCTGTCTGAGCAGCGTCAGCAGGGCGGGCAGCTGGTCGCGCCGGGCGGCCGGGTCGGCCAGCCGGGCCGCCAGCCGCGCCAGCAGGCCCGCCTCGGCCAGCGCCTGCCGGTTCTCCTCGTGGCGCAGCGTGACGGCCGTCGCCCAGGGCAGCGTCTCGGCCGGCCGGGCGTCCAGCAGGCGCAGCAGCAGCGCGCAGTCGTCGGCGGCGAACAGGTCCGGCTGGCCGTCCTGCAGAGCGGCCAGCGCGCGCAGCGCCGCCGCCTCCGGCCGGCCGGCGCGCAGGCAGGCGCGCAGCGCCGGGTAGGCGCCGCGCCGGCCGGCCAGCACTCGCTCCGGGAGGCCGGCGGCGCAGAACTGGCGCACCGCCTCCAGCAGCTCTGCCAGCCGCGTCAGCTGCGGCTCCGACAGCTCGGCCTCAGCGGCCAGAGCAGACAGCTCCGACAGCTGCGCCGGCACCGACGCAGCGCGCTCGTCGGTGACGATAAACCGAGTGTCGACGCCCTGCGGGGCGGGACGGGAGCTTCGGTCATCGTCCAGGGGATGTGTACCTTTGGGCACTTTATTATGGACTCGCTATATAACAGCCCACTGTGTGCATGTAGAGTGGGCGTATGACATGACCGAACTCACGGCTCACAGTCCGAGATGCATGATTGGTGAGATATCTTCCTGAACATTGAAGTACATTGAATGATGTGCAAACTGTGAGACAAATAATAATGCTGAGGTAGGATTTATGACAATGAGTCTCTAATTAAAGGAGGCTGAAAATATACCAGCTCTTTTAAATCATGAAAGCTAATTTTCACCCAACCTGTGCTTTCAGCTGCTCCAAAGCATCTGCAACTGCTTCATCCTTCTCCATTTCAAAGTCTTCTATGTTCTGTTTCACTATCATTTGAAATGAGTCTTGGAAAACCGATGGATCTCCAGTCATTTTGTCACCCATCTTTGCAGATCAACTGCAATAAAAAACATATGTCTATGGTAATAAGATGCAAATTACAAAACATTTTGGAGAACACCTTTCAGCAGCCATTATTTGTACATCCATCTGATACTTCATCTAATTTAGGACATGAGTAGGTACAATGTCTAGACATGAGAGACATTTAGATACGAGTGGTTAGACATACTCTAGACATGAACCAGATCAAGATCATACAACTGAGTGAGCTGTTATTTCTTTAAGCTAATGCTGCTGGGATGAATTAATCATGTACCTATACAGCATAGCATAGCCAATATGACAATTTAGCCAAAAGTCTTTGCATACCACCATATGACCTGTTCTAAGCCCCTACAAAACAGCAACAAGAGAAAACATGAATAAAAGGCGGATGGCCACCTGGAGCAGGCCCAAAGCCTGAAAAAAAAACTGTAAAGAAACTTGCTAAATGAACAGGAAGAACATAAAGTACCAACCTATTTGCATGCTATAGTAATTGGCCTCAAAGCTCGACAAGTGGCAGTAATGATCCCCATTACCTGGCACATTAGCGCCTTAACTGCTCCACACAAAATCAAGAGACTAGGTACCACAGTAAATCTTCACTGCAACATAGACTGGATGAGCCTGAGCTGAGTGCCCCTGCGCATAAAATATCCGGCAGTCATAAAGCAGGCATTACACTTGTTTTTGCAACCAAGGAGAGGTGCTATACCCAAAGATGAAGGTTATAGGCTGTTAGGTTCTAGGTGGTAGGTGGTAGGTAGTAGCCATACTGCAAAGCCATACTGCAAAGTATGGCTCATAGATCGACGAGGTGTACCGGCTTAAGTTCAAAATCTGCACCAACCGGCTTGAGAAAGAGCCGGAAAATCCGCACCAAAGCCGAATGAGAGTACAAAAAGCCCGCACCAAACCAAACAGATGTCCAGTTTACATCCACACTGACCTCAATTAGTGATATGAGCCGCAAGCCAGCGCCCAGCCCTCTCAGTAGTATGGAAACAAAACGAGAAATACGCACCACACAACTCAAACAAAAAGCATGTCACACCAATACAAAATTTTTTGGACCTTCGTCTCATAGTTTCCCCAACTGAAATATGCCTTTAAAACCAAAACTGCCATATTTCGATTCTTGTGGCTTTGGTTTGGGGGTGAGGCAACTGGCGAGGGGCAGCCGGCAGCAGTGGCGGATCCAGGGAAGGGCAAAATGGGCATTTGCCCTCCCCAAAGCTAAATCATGTGGGCAAGACTGTCCTTTTGCCCCTCCCAAAGCATGTAGAGATGATAAAATTGAATATGGCGTCGAGGGCTATCTGGACGTAAAGCAGGACTTTCGGTGACGGCCATTCCGAAGGAAGGAGCTGGACGTTCGCTGCTGATGACTTATGCCAGAATGCTGTAAATAGATCAAACTCCCTGAACTGATTGCATGTAGATAGTGTGGCGTTGTAAAGTCGCTTGGTCATCTCGGTGCTCAAGGGCACCGGAAATCCGCGGATAGAGGGTGCAGGGGTTTCAGCTCCAGACCCATGGAAAAACATTGGAGTGCAAACATAGCTTTTTGCACCCCCCAAAAGCCGTATAAGAGGCCTGTCACACCACCAAATACATTTTCTCCCAAAGACCAGTGATCGGGAAACGAACGATCATGTGGGATCACCGATCATCAGACGTCTAGTTGTTGGTCAGGAGCGCCATATGCTGGTCTTTTGGGGCCCTCACCGGCTAGGAGTGTCCCGAACCGCGTTTGGTGCCCCATGACGGCATCTGAGGACCCCACGGAGACTCCAGGGGTTACGCTGCCTCTGAGGGCCCCCACGTCGGTCTCTGAGGGCCCTCGTGACACGGTCCTAGACCCATCTCAGGTCTGAGTGCCCATGGGCTTTAGATGACCCACGACGGCCTCTGAGGGCCCCAACACAACCAGGCTGCAGGAGCTATGCTGGCATCTGAGGAACCTGTGACGGTCTCTTGATGGCCCTAACGATGGACTCTGATGGCCTTACCACAGCCTCTGAGGGCCTTGCAAAAATATCTGAGGGCCCAGGGCCTATGAAAACCGTCATGATGGCCAAGGATCTTCATGCTGACCTCTGATGGTCCTCTTGAAGGCTTCTAAGGGCCCTCACAACGACTTCCACACTGATTCCGCCCGAGACGGACGGTCCCTGAGGGCCCTCACGACGACCTCTAGGACCCAACGCAAGCTTCAAATGCCCACGCTGGCATCTGAGGGCCCCACGACGGCCTCTGATCGGGCCTCAATGCAGGCAGACTGCAGGGGTCATGCTGACCTCTGAGAGCCCTGTAACGAAGGCTCCAAGGGCCCACGGTGGCCTATGAAGAACCCTATGAAGAACTTTCAAGACTCGAGCCTACGCTGCTTTCTGAAACCCTTCAGCACCTTCTGAGGAACCGACCCTGGTCGGGGCTCATTCAATCTGAGAAGTCGTGAAGGTCTCTGGAGGAGCCTCCATTGAGTCATTCAGTTTCCAGAGGTTTTTGACGGTCTTGTATGTATGTATGTATGTATGTATGTATGTATGTATGTATGTATGTATGTATGTATGTATGAATGTATGTATGTATTGACACCAAAAGCCTTCCACATATGGCGTGGCGATTACGGCTTGTACGTAAGAGCGGACCCGTAGGGCTCTCAAAGGTCCACTGCGGATCCAGAAAAGTGGTTTGAGGTTTGCGGGTGGTGGTTAGCATAAGAAAAATCACCCAGTAAAAAAAAACTTGTCGCATTTCACTTATTTAGGTATGCTGTGATTTTGTGAGGTTCACTGAAATATGCAAACATTTTGGATAACATCCTGTATGGATTGTTTCCTTAACTTTTGGTTTTCATAAATCGATGATTGGCAGCTTGAAAAAGTAAAGGGGCCCAAAACCTTCAGTGGGGCCCCTTGAGAAAATTTTGCATCCCATCCAAAATTTATCTTACATTCCTCCCAGTGCGGGGTGGATAGGGGTTGTCGGATAGGTCGGAAACTTTTGCCCTCCCCAAACGGATCGGCTGGATCCGCCCCTGGCCGGCAGGAGGAGGAGGATGACACCAATATCAATATTGATGTCATGCTGGGGAGAGGGGGTGTTTACTGTTTATACTCCCACCAGTCCCACCCATCTAGCTCAGCTCCTGGTCCACATAGCAGCAGGCTGAAAAAACGTGGCAGGTTTCAACGAGATCTCGTCGGGGCAGCTCTCACAATCGGTTATCGGGGCAGGATTGAGAAATATCTGGGCAGAGATGAGAAAAAGATGGGAAATGGGCTGCCCCTGGGACCATTATACCATTTGGGAACCAGAATTGGGCTGCACCGCATCTCTCAGCACCCTGATTCGGGGCAGAATTTCGTCTGCCCTGAAAATCTCGTCGAGCTCCCTGCCACCTTTTGCAGACTGGCACAGCAGCATGTGGCAAGTGACATGTGATTTGTGAAAAAGCGTAAAAAATAATGAAGACATTCCTTCAGTCATTTTTAGATTAGGTCAAAGGTCAGGTTACCATAGGTCATTTAAAATCAAATTTTACCTATTTCAGCAATGTTTGTTATAAAGCCACAGTGACGGGGAAAAGCGCACGCGATATCTCCGCAAACACTATTTCGCCAGCACATCCGCAGATTTCACCTTAGGCACGGTGGTTTATATAGCCTTGGGCACGGTATATAGAGAACTTACCGGGAACTTGACCTGATATGTTAAAAAAGAGCCTCACAAAAATTGTTTCAGACATGCAACGGATATAACTACTTGGGATATGACGCGCCCCGCATAAACGGGCTCTGGTATTAAAGGGACCCTCCCACCTTAACATTAGTTTTGAGTTGAGATAGCCAAGTTTGCGGCCAGGCTCAGAAACCACCATTTATCCTGGCCGCAACCCCCGCAGCTTTATGGTGTTCAAGAAATTTCTTCCCTTTACTTGCAGGGTGGGACCAGCGTGGTCCCTATCTCTTAACCATTACGGGAATCTGATGACGTCATCAGGCTTTCGAACGTCCGTTAAATGTTTGACTAAAACGTTTTGTAGCACGCGGTGGTATATGCTGCTTTGCGCGCAACAAATGCCGCACTTTCAAATAAAGTCGCTAGGAACAGCGGAGATCCCAAAAAGTAAACAAAAGTGAAAGTCTAATATCTTGAAAACCGGTGAATATTTTTCGATGAAATTTGGTAGATATTCGTTTTTGCTCTTTCTAAACCGAGCGACATCACTTTCATGCCAATTCATTAACTTTTTTGAAGGTGGGAGGGTCCCTTTAACTGGATAATTCGCCAGCTGACGCCGTATGGTGGCGCTAGTGGAGCAGCACCATATGACGTCAGCAGAAAACACCGTGAGCAGCTATGAAATGGGAGCGAGCACCACGGAAATATCGAAAGGTGATGGACATGTACTGACTTTGGTCATTCAAGTACCACCAACACCATACAAAAACCATATAATATCATCAAGACGGATTCTGGAATCGATTCGTTCAGGTATTTAAAACACATAAAAAATGTTTGTTACCAAATTCTAAAACAGTATAAGGATATTCTTGTTCCTTACTTTTACCTTGCGGAGAACTTTTACAATACCTTTTACTTGCTTTCTAGTACGCCCATCACTATCTCAAAATCTGGATTGCAACGCTGTAGGAAAACTTTTTTTCATTTGTCATTTCTTCCACTTTTGAGCAATGCTAATTTATTTGGTTTTATACATTAAATAATGAAGACGCTTCCTAACTTTTTAGGGATCTGCAGCGGCCCAAAGAGCAAAATCAGATATTTTCTAGAAACTTGAGGCCACTATTTTCTTATTTGCTAGATAATATACAAATATTGACATGTAAAGAATGATACGGGTGTATAATTCTGCAGAAATATAAATGAGTATTTAAAATTTTTCAAGAACCTTTTTAAAATCTTACATAATGACTTCTTTCAATACAAGGTGGAAGGAATTTCAGTTAACAATAAAGCAGCACAAGGCAGTACCTTGAGCTATTTATATACACTGTGCCTTGAGCTGCGATGATCCATAACCAATCGGCACCTGCAATTTGATTGATCTTCGAGATGTACCCTGCCTCTGTTCCCTGACTTTCCCTTTTCGTTGTACCGGGTGAAGCGAATATTCAGTGAATATTCTTCTGACAGTCAGTTTTTAGTCCTACATAATGTTGTCAATCAGATTTAATTGGTTCAAAAACCGTCGTAGTCCGTCTCATTCGCAGTCTACATCTCCACATGCGCACGCATACATGCTCAAAAACCCTGCAGCGTACCCTGATGAAAAATGTTTTGTTGAAATCAGAGACACTTCCCAAGGTAGGCCATAGTCCATGGCCATATATTTAAGTCAAAACAGATGAAACAGATAAACACAATTCCAATTATCAAGTCAACCAGCATCTGCACATAAGCTCTAAACCTATTGCAAGACTACTTTGTATTCAAACTTTGTATTGCAGAAGGGTGGAAGCTGCATGGAATTATGCGACAATTTCAGCGTGCATCCACGCTCGAAAGAGCAGGGTTAATTGTAACAATGTCAATACCATAACAATAACGTAATTGTAGGTGTTGTAATTCGGTTGTCTCTTGTCTGTGCTGGCTATTGCGCGGGCGGTCCAGCGGCGGAACTCGGCTTCGCCGCCGTGGCGCGCTGGCAGTTGCTTCTTCTTCTTCTTCTGCATCCCACCGCCAACCCGCTCAGGGGGGGGGGGGGGGGGCGGCGCAGGCGGGTCGAGCGGCGGCTCGGTCCGCCCAGCATCCTCGATGAAGGTGACGACCTTCGTCGCCGGGCCGCCGAGGACGTCGACCAGGCGAGGGTCGACACCCCAGCGGCGGCGGCGGGCCGCCTCATAGGCCGGACAATCGGTCAGTAGGTGCGCCGCGCTGTCGGGCTCCCCGCACGCGGGGCATTCGTCGTCGGCTGCCGGGCCAATCTTGTGGAGCGTGTCACGGGTCAGCGGTGATGTGCCGGTCCTCAGCTGGGACAGCGTCACCGACCCCCAGCGCGCCAGGGAGTCGTGGCCAGGCGTGGGGTCCGGGTGCGGGTGGGCAGCGGTTGCCCTCTGTCGCGACAGCTCCCGGACATGGCGCGTGACGGCGGCCCGCGCACTCGACAGGTCGATCGGTGC